CTCGCGAGCCTCATCCCGCGTTTCAGCCGACCGAGCTTTTTAGCTGCGCCCCGTCGAACCGCAGCCGTGCTTTCCAACAATGCGTCTACACGATTCTTTTCAATTTCAATTTCAATTTCGTCCTCGTACGTACGGGGCGCCACCGTAATCGCGGCCCGGCAGCGGCTCAGACGAATCCTCGGCTTTGACTCTTCCAGTTCGCGGTTTACTTTGGACATTCCTGCCGAACAATCGTTTGCCGCGGGAGAAAGCGCTCCTTCGCGGCGCGCTTTAACGCCGAGCCGTTTTCGAGCAATGGCTGTTGCCTGGTTACGTGTCCCTTTTCCGGGACACGTACGATTCCGTTAATGTACAAAAATTCTGTACTTATAGTGTTCCTTTTGAATTGCACGTTTATTTTAGGATATTATTAACACGTTGTACGCCGGATAAATTTCAGCTACTAAACACGCGAGCGTATTGATACACTATTAAATCAATCAAACCGAAATGTCTAACTTACGAGGAATAATAAGGATTTTGTAATTTTACTTAGGATTTGTGGTGTACATATATAAAATAATATATTAACGTAGGACTAGCAATTAAACGGCAGAATAAAAATCCCGCATTATCGCGGGACCGGCGCGCAATGTGTTAAGAATATAAAGTGCACCGTATAACAAAGTTTCTTTATGAAATATTCAAGAATAAAAACAACGTAAAACTAATAGAGGAGGTACCATGTAAATACCACTTGGCCGGGGAACGAGGTCTAGGCGTGTCGTTTTTCAAGCAAGGAACGTTTTAACGGTGAACACGAGCACTCTCGGGCAGTGCGTTAGCAGCTGGTAGAAAACGAGCCGCGTTAGGATACACGTTTAACGAGAGAGGATCGTCTTGATACTTCCCCGGTCGCTTTGAACTCGACGCCGCGCGACGAATCGCTTCCTGTCCAGTTGCATCACGACTTCGCGATTACCCGGTATAATTATACGGAGCGGCAGCGCGGCCGGTGTATATCGTTGCACAACTCGGTAAACAGTCTCATCGATTGATCGGTGTCCGTGCGACGACGCGTCCGCTTTTATTTATAACGCTGACCCGTGGAAAGTTAGAAAACTGGTCGCGAGCGGCTGCTCCCGTGCCAATATCCCCGGGTCTAATGACTCTTTGAAATGAAATTTCCCGCCGGGCAGGGGCGGACGTTTGTCTTTGTCCAGCGCGGGGCCGCTCGCACGGCCGAATACGTGCAGCGAACGACCGCGGCCATAAATTTCCGCGGCGTCGATCGCCGTCCCGTCCCGATCCACTAACGGATCGAGCCTCGGCGAGGGATCTCCCGATAAATGTTCGCATGTTAATGGCAGACACGGGCTGCACGACGCGGCGCGCCGCGGCGCAGCCAGTAGTGGCGCACGCGTCGCGATTACCTTTGAATATTTCAACCATTCGTTTGCCCGGCGAAATGGCTGACCCGAATAGCGAACGCGAACGCCGCGCCGGCTGCATCGAGATCGTCAGCGCCACGCGATTTCCCGAAACGATTCTCGCCGGCGAACGACGAATCGGCGCGCGTCGTTTCCCAACGAGCGACAAACACGGCCGGCTGTAAGACGCGGCCCGATTTATGTCGGAATTTATCGCCGTCGGACTTTCCCGTTTTACGGCCCCCCGAACGCCACCGACGCGGTAATAGAACAAAATGGAACAACCGCCGCGCCAATAATAATAATGGCTTTACGCGTCGGGTGTCGGCCCGCATTGTGACGGTACAATACGCGAAACTGTGCCCAAGGAATTTCGCCGGCTGCCTCGAGCGGGGAGTAACGAGCTTTGTCCCCGTCTGCGCTCCCTCCCCCGGCGGTTCGCGTCCTTCGCGATACTTCGAAGCTTTTCC